CTTTTTCGCAACGGTGGGCTGTTGCTTTGGCTTCTTTTCAGAAGCGGTAGGGTTCGGTGGTTGCTGCTTCCGCTGCTTGGCCTTGGATTTGTCCTTGTCACCGCTCGGCGCCGCTGACACCTTTGGCGGCTTTGCAGCCACCGCCTGCTTCTTACTCGCGACCGTGGCCGCGGCCTGACCTTTTCTCCTTGCTCCCAAACCAGTTGACATGGCCGCAGGCTTTTCGTGCATCCGCGCGTGATGCGTCGCCTTGCGCTGCTTTTTTTCGTCGCGCTGCTGCTTGCGCGCATCCTTGCGCGACATGTGCGGCTTCCCTCCCTTGACCGGGCGCGAGTAGGGTGACCCGCGGGAATCGGCACCCGACGCGGAGGAGGAAGCAAGCTCGGAGAGGAGCGCGGTCGGGATTTCGGGGCGCCTGGGCTTGTTTGAAGTGCGTGGCATGGCTGTCGGTCTGATTTAAACTGGATGTGGGTTACGTGGAATGGTAATGAAAACTGGAAAACAAACGCAGCCTCCTCCACCGACCGATATGGTGGTCGCGTCTTTGCCCGATCGCTCACACGAGGTCGCGTGACCCGTTTCCGAGTGAGACAAATTGACTTGGCACGTTCGCTGTCTCGCTCATCCGCGTGCCAGCATGACTATTCAAGTGCAATTCGTGTGTAGAAACATTGCCCAAAGTTTTGTCAACAGACAATGGCCGTCTGCATGATCATCATCATTCATGAGACGGTTCAGACAAGTTCCCAATCCCACAACAAGCAGGAGCAGTCGCATGCACAACTTGCAATATCGTCGATAGTGGCGAATGAATGCGTCTCCGTCAATGCCCGCCATGGCTGTACTTTTTCCAGTCCACGAGTGCTGGTATGGCGTGTGGATGTAAAATGTGCGTCCGCATCCCCAGTGAGGCGGTTCGGAATCGAGGTGGCCCGTTCGAATTCGAGAACTTGCCCAAGGAGCCCAAGGAGCCCAATTCAGCCAACATGTTCCATTTTTCACAGTATCATCAGGTATACGACCCAAGCGGCCTCCAGCCAAGTACAGCAATGACCCCATTGAATCAACTTTGTAGAGCTGAAACGTTCCATCGGCTGCGAAAGACTGGTGTGCAAGCATGGACGGATCCAATGAAAGCCAAACCATGGTCGGTATTTTTTCATGTCGTCTCTCTGTGCAGAGGCAGTACTTCTCGGCCTTCATTTCAGAAGAGCCAATCGCGGACCGTTGGCAACACATTTCAGCCGATGCGACGATGATCGGCGCCGCTCCACTAATCCATTGGGCAGCTCTCGGAAAAACCACACGGCACGCCGCAAATGTGTTCATGATCATATGCATGGCCATTGCCCAATGCACACACACTCGATATCAGGAAGCCGTCCAGCCATCAGTCTGTGCATTGCATTGCTTTCACCCGCCTCGACACCTTGCCTTGTTGTGACCACGGTGCCCCAATTCATCATTTGCACATCATTGTCCCTCAAACCGTCGCGATTGATCACACGCCGCCAACCAGCCCCGCTCACTCGACCCTGCTGGCATCATATCGCTCCAGCGGCCACTGCCCCCGAAATCGATACAACGTACTCTCCTTGTCACTTTGCCTATCGTGGTCACCGCGGCAGTGGACCCCTCAGCGATTCCAACCGATTGGGGACCTGCAAACACGCCACATTCCCTCGCCTCAGTGTTGTAACCACTTGCCCCGCTCCCTTATTTGTTGCTTCTCCATTGAATCCACCCGTTATGTACGTTAGCAGTACAATGACTTCGCGTCCATCGTCCCCGACCGGTGGTCAATCGCCATCGGCCAAGAAGAAGAGGGCTGCCAGTGCGGCTTCATCATCGACCCCGCCGTCACCCGCCAATCCCAAATCGAAATCCACTCGGGCAACCAAGGGAGCAGCTCCTTCGAAATCTGCTACATCTGCTTCAGAGCAAGACCCGGACCAGTCGACTACTTTAGCCCATCAATCCCCTCCACCCCCCGCCAGCTCTGCGCCGGATGCCGCTGCGGATTCCTCCATCAAAAGAGAAAAGCCGCAACGCCGCAGCTCATCTGTATGCTTGATTCTTCATGACTCGTATACTCTCTTGCACTCGAGACACATGCATGCATATTCACACGCACCGTGCTTCAACGACGCCACCGCCTCCTCCGCTTCATTCTATTCTTTGCAACCCCTACCTGCCCGTGCACATGGTCATGCACCGGCACTCGATACCAACTCACACGCCCACCTGAATCCCATCCCGTTTTCCCACCTTTTTTCCACCACACTCAACACCAAAACATGTCCAACCGCCCCCGCCCTTTACCTCTCCAGCCCGCACCTCCACCTCCCGGCCAACCACCCATCGACCCAGACGCAACCGCCAAGCAACAGCAACAAGATGATGCCGAAGACTGGGAAGCCCGCGAGCAAGACCGGTTGCTGCCGATTGCCAACGTGACACGCATCATGAAAAAGACTTTGCCCGAAAACGCAAAGCTGTCCAAGGAGGCAAAGGAGTTGATTCAAGAGTGTGTGTCTGAGTTTATTTCCTTCATCACGTCGGAAGGTATGCACAAATGTCTCTTTCGTTGTACACTTTTTATTCTTCAAGGCCTCACGCTTGCTTCTTTGGTTCATTCATTCAGCAAGCGACCGGTGCCAAAACGAAAAAGCGCAAAACTATCAATGCCGAAGATATCCTTTGGGCCATGCAACAGCTCAGCTTTGACAACCATTCCGACACGATGCGCGTGTACCTGGACCGGTTCCGCGAATGGCAGCAAGCAAAGACGGGCAAGACCGCGAAAAGGGGTGGTGACAGAGGGGATGGGTCGGGCGACGATCCAACCAGTCCAACGTCGGACCAAGGCGGCAGCGCAAGTGCAAGTGCAAGTGCAAGTGCAAGTGGGGCCGATCCTACAGCGCATGCGGCCGCAGCGGCGCACATGATGCAACAGCAGCAGCAGCAATTTGCGCAATTGATGCAGCAGCAGCAACAGCAACAGCAACACCATGGATATCCGCCCCAGCAATAGGTCGCCTTTGGTTTGTTGGCAACCAATGGCATTGCCGGTGATTTCGCTCCCGCTCGTTCTCGGTACCCCGCGGCCCAATGCGCGCTCGTTTTCTTAGACTGAACCATTTCCTTGTTTCTTCGCTTTGTGATATCCATTGTTTCGTTTGTCGCCTTATCCGTTTCGTCAGTACCTCTGTTGATTGCTTTTCCCCACCTACCCACCTCCACGACTCGTCAGGTTGAACGGAATCGTGGATTGCTCGTTGATCGAGCCTTGCTTGCCCCGTCGTCGTCATTTTGTTGGGCTCTGGAGAGTGGGACTTGTGTATAAATAATGTACCTCTGTTTCCAGCCACACGTCGCAACCATGTCCGAATGAGACTCGCAGCCAATCCCATGCCCGTCGTTACCATTCTTTTCTCATGCACGGAGACGACACTCGCAGGTTGTCATCACAATGAGCGCGAGGTGGAAAGCGAAGCACTCGTCAATCATTCACCACTTGCTGTGGCCACTTTATATCTTGTGGACGCGTGCATCGGAAAAGCGACAGCCGTCAACCATGTACTTGCCGAAATGTGGGACAGGAAGCGTTTGATCTTTTGCTGGCTTTCTGCCTGATATACCTGACCCTAACCGGCCGCCTCACTGGTTGCCAATACGACCGCTCCAAAGCTGGGTTTTCGCATCTGGCGGACACGCGCACATGCACAATGCCCATGAATGTGATCAAGTCGTCGTGTGTCGTTGACCTCATTTCGGGCGCGGCGACCTGCGTAGCAACGGATTCGCGGGACGCAAGAACATATGTGCGTCGATTCGTTTGCTGACCACATGACATGCATGAATACTGCGGTCTCGGTGGCGGCGCGGCAAAGCTTATTCACAGTGCGCATATGCATTATTCGACCAACATTAATGTTGCGACGCAGTCATCGGCGTGATCTTGCGAATTGTGTCAACAACCTGGTCGTGCGCCATGCATGTGCGCCACTCTGCGCACACTATTCTGGCATATGCGGCTCCCACCATGCGGTACGTGACGCGACCGCCGCTGTAAACGGTGCGAACATACCCACCCACGAGGGTCGGGGACATATCTGGGCCATTTCGAGCAGGAGGTAGGCCATTTGTGGGTATTTTTCAAGAAAATTAGTGCTGCTATGAATGGTGCAGCACCTAGATGAGGGAGAATCAGAGGGCAAGAACCCTTCATCAGTCACTGCATTGTCGCAAACAAAATGCGACTGAGAAGCTTTGTGGCGATTGCAACCAGTGAATCGAGCATATATCGCAACAGGCTTCCGCTCATGCACATTGACGATAGCCGCCTCTGGTGTCGCCAACCCTGAATGGGGCTGCGGCATGCGCTGCGTCAATATCTGCCGCATTTCCCCTCAACGCTGCGAGGATTGCCACATGGGTTGCGACGTTCGCGGTTTTGGAGCCAAGGGCACGCACTGTTTCACTTCATGCTGTCATTGCTGAACTCGCCTATTTACATTTCCTCCCCACCTCATACATAGACGCTTCCGGGTCCGCCAAACCCGCATGGGGCAACTGCGCTTATCGCTGCTTGAGCATGTGCCGCTTGTCGCCTGAAAAGTGCGAGGATTGCCTCATGGGATGCGAAATGTGAACACATCGTGTCGATAGAGATCCGGACTGGCGACAGACTGATGTTGGGTGGTAAGAAATGTGATCGTTGATTCCTTTGTCGATGCTATACGTGAATAGATCGATGTGTGCGATTGTGCGGCAAGCCGTGTGCATGAGGGCTCGTGTCATGACAGAAAACAGGCTAGGATCAGTGAGAATGTCATTGACAGGAAAGGAGAACAGACGGCATGACTGAGCTGAACGTCCAGTGAGTTCCTCTGACATGGGCGAGAGATGAGAGACACTGGGACAACCTAGGCGGGTTGGAATGTGAGCGAAAAAGGAATCAACTGTCCTGATGACAGAAGAATGTAAAAACGCCATAGCACCCGACGTGGGACTCGAACCCACAACCCTTCGATCCCTTCGGTGCCGATAGAAGTCGAAAGCGCTAGCCATTGCGCCAGCCGGGCATGTTGCCGAAGCTATGTGTTGAAAGGGTGAGAGCCCCCAAAGCGAACTGTGACACCGAACCCCGCGGACGTGATCGATCTTTGTGTCACCAACCCTTGCCGATCACTCTGTGGAGAAAATGTGCAGCGCTTGCGTCTACCACTTTCTCCGTCTGTCCGTCCTACTGATGGTCCTCTTTGATCGGTCAATTTCCCTTCATGATTGGAGTGGCCATGGATTGAGCGAACGTGAATTTGCCTGCAAGCGCAGACTTGAACTTGAACAGCCTCGTGCAAGAGCACAGCCGCCTGCAGAACTGTAGATGCGACGCAACAAGTGAAAGCATCTGCTGGCGTGAGACACGGAACAGCAAGTTCCGTTCTTAACAGCCTACAGCCCATTCGCTGCCTCAGATTGGCAGGCATCAAGTGTTGCCCATCTGTAGCACAATCGTTGGCTGTCACTCCAACTGATTGCTGGCTGTCTCTATTTTTCACTCCTTCTCTGTGAATGGAAATGTCGCACGGCGCGCCTGCTGTCATTGGACAATGGACGCGACTGCTCATCATTCGCCTGTGGGAACAACTGAGCTCGATTTGCTTGCTGGCGCGACGGAGCGGATGAAAGGGCGCCCTTGGATCAGAAAACTGGCGGGATAGTACTGTCGTCTCAAGTGCAAGTCGGTCTCGCTCATCATGCTCTGCCCCTTGCTGTGCTGTCCATTTGGGCACACCGCTAGAGCTGATGCTGTTGCTTTCCCACACATATTTACCTGGGGATGAATGTGAGTCAATCCAGCGCAGTATCCGAACTGATCTGCCGAAGCTACATCAGCCGGCGCGAGGTGTAGAGCGGCAAAAGCCATATCCTATCAGTCGTAGCCGAAAGATTGGATGCTTGAGTTGCTCACTGCGTCCTGACGGACAGCTACCTGAACTTCCGGCGTGGGCGCCAGGTAGGCCAGATTTAATACGCAACCGGACGGCTCCCACCCTGATGCATGCGCATCGCAAGACAAAACATATCCTTCCGTGTTACTGCGGCGCCGTTGCGCATGCTGCCTGCATAACTGCCATCGCGAGACAGAAAGACCTGAAACTGTGGCAATGGAGGGAACATTGACCAATTAATGTCATTGATCCGAAATATGTACAGATTACGGTGTGTTTGCGGCTGTATGGGACCGCTGCGCTCTTGCATTCTCGTTGCGTTGACCAGGTCGTTGGCCACAACCGGTGACGCGAAGTGGAGTCGTCGTGGGCGGCGGCGAGCCTGGCTGCGCGGCCAAACTATGAAAACCGAAGCACCAACAACAGTATATGGGAGGGGTATTTTGTACCTACCTCTTTCATCTCCATGGTTGGGATGCGGCAGTTTTCCCGATACGCCCAGTTACCGGTGCTGCGGTTCAAGATTTGTATCATGGCACACCGCACACCATTTTCGTGAGACGTGCAAACTTGACCGTCCTTGATCACTCAAGTTTTGCCCGGGTCAACTCGTCATGAAATATAATGGGTGCGCATGCATCGATGGAGTTTACGAGGATATTGTTTCAAATTCTTACATGTAATGTTTACTTTCCTAATTTTTACATGTAAATCGACACCATTTCATTTGGACCGCACCCCAAATTGCTTGTACCTCATCGCAGAAACTACATGCATATGTTTCCCCAACGTGCTGCACTATCAAGCTCTCTGTAGCTGAATGAGTTACCGACTCTAAGGCCAGTTCGAGAATGGGTCCCGCTGGGGAACGTACTGCTCGAGGAGGCTACAAATACTGGTGCCGACCCGCCGTCCATTTTCAACAAGATGTGTTCCTTACCAACAGACATTCCCTTGTCCACATTGTCAACACACATCCCCCAATACTCAAGATGAAGTTCCTCGGCCTCCTCTCGCTCGCGTCTGCCTTGGTTGCCACCGTTTCGGCTGCTCCCCTTGGTTCGTGATCTCGATTCATGCTGCGCGACTGCCTTCCTTCTTCGTTCCCACTCGCTCATTCAACTCTCGCTCCGTCTCGCTACAGACAAGCGCGCGTCGTCGACCTGTCTCGCGACCATGACCGGCATCACCGTCATGGACTGCCACTGCAACGCCGACTGCACGCTCACTGGTCGCTGCTGTGACGACTATGCCGACTTTGCCGCTCGCACCCAGCAAGCCGTCGCCACCTCCCGCTCGGGTATTGCTGCCGTGCGTCCCAACGGCGGCCGTGTCCCCGAATTCCACAAGACCGAAGTCGTCATGACCGCCAACACCCGCGGCCCCACCAAGGGCTCTGCCCTTGTGACTGTGCGCCACTGCCTGTTCGAGGACGTTGCCAAGTCGCTCAAGCCCACCCCGACCAACCCGATCGTGCTCCCCGTCGAGCCAAAGTGGGAGTTGCGCGAGTGCACGCAGGGCGCCGACGTGTTTGTGGTCAATGGCAAGTCGGGTGCGATCGTGCCCTTCACTCAAGCCGTCAAGGTGCCCGCCAAGGTCCGTGCCGCGTTTGGCATTATGCCCAACAAGAACGACATTGAGCCCTTCCCGCGCCCGTCCGACACCTTCTTTTACGTTGAGCTCTCGGGTGCTGACGCCATCAACGCCGCCAAGGTTGCCGTGACCCGCGATGATCTCACCACCGGCTTCTCTGCCAAGCTGCCCAAGAAGCCCTCGGGTAAGGCTCCCTTTGATCCGACCTTTGGCCGCAACTGGGCCGTGTCGTCCGCCTCGTTCAACCTTGTTGAGCCCCATGTTGCCGCGCTTCCCGAGTCGGACGTGACCCCGTACGACTTGCAGCGCAACTATGCCGAGGTTGCCAAGAACGCCAACTATGGCGTGGCCAGCACCAAGATCGTCTTGCGCAAGGTCTTTGACGGCCAAAAGTGGGTCGACATCGTCAACGAGGACGGCCAGCGTCAGGTCATGACCGCCGTCGCCGGTACCCGCGGTGCTCAGGCCGAGATTTTCCATAGCTTCTAAAGCGTTGAGAGTGACTGTGTTGTCTGACTTGGTGTGATCCTTCTTGTTGTATTTGGTGTGGCAGTGTGTGGTGTGTCGCCTTCCGTTCCGAAATCCGCGTGTACTTTATAACAACTCCTCACGAATACATACGTTTTCCATGTGATGCGGACAATAACTTGATGCAATTGAAACTGCAAACGTCAATCCATGAACTACAAATGCCACACTCTTGACACAATTGAAAATGAAAGAGTTTCTCAAAACAGTCAAGATTGTGCTCGTTGGCGACGCGTGTTCTGGGAAAACGAGCGTCATTCATCGCTTTGTCTATGACCGCTTTTCGGTCCACTACCAACCGACACCCGGCCTCGACGTCTTTGAAAAGCCCATCAAACTCGCAGGTGCGCTGCCAATAATGTATAATGGCCAGACTCAAGTATGTATGGTGAGTGTCCAACTGAGGAGCAATCCCGCATCTAGATTCGACACCGTGCACGGTCCAGTTGTGGGATGTTGCCGGATCCATGCTGCACTCGCGTGGTCTGCCCAACGCCTTGATTGACGCCGATGCAATCTTGCTCGTGTACGACCTGACGCAACCGTCCACCTTCAAGTCCCTGACACAATGGTTCCACTTGGTGGAGCGTGTGTGCGGAATGGGCAATGGGTCAGGCAACATCAATGGGAATGCGGCCAATGCGGCAGAAGACGAGTTTGGAACGAGCGGCGGGGGTGGGTGGGGAGCAGGAGGAGGCGAGGCAGAGTATCGTCCACGTAAACCTCGGCCGGATCCGCAGGCGAGGATTCCTTTGATGGCAGTTGTCGGAAACAAGTGTGCGTTGTCGCTTAAGCGTTGAACATTGTTAACTTAATCAATCAAGCTCACCCTCGTATAAATTCACAGCCGACCTTGCTGGCTTGCGCATGGTACCTCAACCTCTGCACACTTCTTGGGCAGAAGACCACGACGTGCTCAACTACATCACTTCCGCGCGCATTGCAGAGACGGTCTACTCCATGATTCTCGACCTGGCCAGCCGGCTCATGGGCCGCACGGCCGACAGCACACAAGTCAACACCATTGTGCGCCGCTTGTCGGTCGCGTCACTGGGCACGCTGACCACGTCAGGTAAAAAGCAGAGGCGCAAAAGCGTGAGCTCAAATGCATCACGCAAGTCTGTGCGCAAATTGGATTGTGTCGTCATGTGAAAAAGTGCACGAGTGGAGATAATATACATTTTGAGCCGGATGTAGAGAAAAACGATGACACAAAGCACCTGAACACATTACCACGCAAACTCGCCATCATCGGCATCGGCATCGTCTGCCTCGCCCGCAATAGCGGACCGAATCAAGGTTTGCTTCTTCTTTGCCTCTGACAACTTTGGCACCTTTGGCCGCAACACAAATTCGTACACGGTGTTCCTGGCCTCCTTGACCCTCCACCACCTGCCATCACGATGCTCCTGGCCCACACCGGCATACACGACAATGGCGTGCTCGGGGTCCTGGGACATCCTGTCGACCTTGGCCACCTCTGCTTGCTCGGCATTCTCAAACGCGGCGGGGAAACTCACGGGCTCGACCACAGTCAAAGCGTTCACGCATCCAACCACGGGCAAGGTACCAACGGCCACAATCTTTTGCGCCACACGGTCAATACGCCATGCCTTGATTTCGCCCGACCAAGACCCCGAGAACATGATGTCAGCAAACTTGATGCCCGCGAGTGCCGTGATCCAGTAAGGCTTGCGCGGTAGGCCCAGCTCGACATCCTGCTCCGACTGCGGGACGTATCCATGAGCGTGGTGAATGGTAAACACGGCCTTCTTCTTGCCCGTGTGCCACAGCGAAATGTGGCCGTGGTCGTCGCCCGACACAAACAAGTCCTCAGTCACTTGCCACACCACATCGAGCGACCCGTGAAAGTGGGACGCGCGAAACAGGAGCTGCGACTCTTCGACAATCTTCCACAAGCGCATTGTCTTGTCGCGGCCACCAGCAGTCACACAGTGTTCCTTGTTGACCGTGTCAATCGCAGCGACGGGATCCTGGTGTCCAAACAG